GAAAGGGGGGGGGGGAGGCACACGAAATGGTCCGGGGAACGACCTGGGTCAACGGTAGACTAACGCCGCCCATAGAGAGACACTTGTTGTCCGCCCGTGGTCAGGGGAGCGCCGAGGGGTGTCGTTCCATGCGAAGTGCTTGCGAACACCGGACAAGCAAGAAAACAATTTCGACGAACAGCGGGAAACACGGCTCAAAAGTTGGCAACATGGGCGGAGCAGAGCTTAGACGAGCGTCAGAATCGAGAGATTGCTAAAACCTCACCCCGTCTTCATGCACGAAAACAATGCGCCCAGCAGCAAGAGGGCACAGGCATTGGAAGGAAAGACTCGATCGGAAAGGGAACCACATATGCGCGGCAGCAGCACGCTTTCTCGGACGGGTGGGCTCCACCGCCTCGACGACGAAATTTCGACAGCGACAGTCTGATGAATGCCAAGATGGGGGGCGGGGTGTGCTTGTCTGTTGCTTCGTTTAATCATCCACATCTCTACTCTTTTCGAAGCGAGGCAGAGGAAGGCCCACCTTCGCGCACCAGTAGTAGATGGACTCCTCGTTATCGATCTCACGGCCAAGACGCTCGATCATCGTCGAGGGCGTCCACACCACCTTTTCAGCCTCCTGCTCGTCGGTCATCTTGTTCAAGATGGGCTGTACGATGGTTTGAGTCCAAGAAAGAGAGGGGGGGGTACTCATGTAAATGCATGCCGTCGTCGCTAGACCATTGACCACGCGTCCCCCAGAGGACGGATCTTGGTTCCCACAGGACCGATCGCCGATGGCCGATCGTTCCATAACGACTCATATCCTTCAATTGAGAAATGAAGCGTATTTTGTCGGGGCGGAGGGCAACGAAACAGGCAAAAAAACGTGCTGATCCAGTTCAACCTCTTGCCGCAACGGACGACTGCCGGCTGTTGGCTGTACCCAACAAATGGGGCTCTTGCACCAAACTGAGACAGACCAAGCGACCCAGCAACTACGTGCTGTCCTTGCTGCAGAGGCTCTGTCGAAAAAAACAAAACAAAAAAAGACTCACATTAAGCCAGTCCTCAAACTCGCAGTAGTTTCTGTTCTCCACGACTAAGTTGCCGATGCGATTCTGCCCCTTGAGCCGGAGGTCTCTGCCCTTAAGGTTGAAGTCGCCCAAGTACGTCGGTCGCAGGCACTTCAAGAAGTCCTCCTCTGGCGTGTCGCCAGCATATATATTATTGTGTTGTCAAGGCGCAATCGTCATGGGAGAGCACAGAAAAGAACGGGTGGTTTGATCGTATTAATGGCACTGCACATGTTCCAACAAGGTAGGTGGTAGTCGTCGACGGGCGGGGGTGAACAGGTCGACCAAAGACTAGCCCGCTATCGACCACAAAACAAAACAAAAACGGGCGAAACGACCGGCCTGCTGCTGTAGTATCGATCAAGAATTGGAAGGTTATCCCTTGCCTTGGTATGTGACTTAAACATTCATACTCTCACACGCCTGCATACCGAGGACTGATTCCTCGGACTTTGAACCCGTTTCCTCAGAGGCTAGATGGGCATATATTGCAATGCGTACCAACGCGTTGGGCGAAAGAGCAGTGGCCGCACCTACGCCCCCGGCCGACGTGACGATGCAGTCCACCATCTTGTGCTGCGCGAGGAAGCGGATGGTCTCGCGCACGCCGCACGACACCATGTTGGAGGTGTACGAGAAGAAGATGGTGGCCTTGACCCCGGTCCTCACGGCCGGGTCCTTGAGGTCGTCGTCCTCGTCCGGCTTGACCGGGCGGTCGCTCAGCCGCCACCTTCGCATGCGGTTCACCTCCTCGACGGCCTTCGCCAGGTTCGTCGCCTGGATAGTCGGCCGGCCGTAGGGCGAGCGATGGCGAGGTGCTGCTTTTCGGTCGCCGTCCCTTACGCTGTACAGATGTGTCAACGGGTGTGCTATTTATAGGCGGCATAAGTATCTCCAAGGCTTCCAGGCATTGATTGCCCAAGACCTAGTTACCTGTTCTGTCTAAAGTACGCTGCTGGTCACCGGGCGCTGCTGTTCCTCCGCGCGTGCCAATGGTGATGATATCCACACGTGAAGTGCAGGGAGGTACGGGACTGAAGGGAGGATCTATCCCAGATTTCGCCGCCAGCATACCAGCGCCGCGAACAAACACGATTGGACCCGAAACAGGGTCAGATACCGCAAGGATTCGAGAGGCTCGTCGGTGGTGTCTCGCTGTCACATGCTCGAGAACCCCCGCCACATCTAGATCTAACGGACGGTGGGCAGTTGAAGCATGAAACGCGAGAGACAGCAGCGGCGTGCCCTCAACACACCCATGAGGGAACGCATACCTGAAAACCAGTCGTCATCGCCGCCGCCATGATACCGTCGAGATCTCTGCCTGTGTTGAAGTCGAAGCCCTTGATGATCGGGGTGCCCTCTGCCACAGGGACGGACTTGACCATCACGGCCTCCTGAGCGAACTCAAAAGCTTTGGCTTCTGTCGAGGTCAGAGACACTGAAGATTCTTTCTGTTGGTCGTCCATCTTGACAACACACACACACACACACACTACTCCCTCCCTATAGGCGCAGCTGCGGTTGCAGGAGAAGCAGGCGCAGCAGGAGCAGCAGGAGCAGCGGGAGCAGCAGGAGCAGCAGCGCTTGTCTCGGCCGTCGTCTGTGTCTTACAAAACGCGGCACAATTACAAGTTTGGTTGATGACGGCCTCGGGAACCATTCTATGAAACCCCTCCGCGCGCAGACCAAAAGACACTGCCGCATGCCGGCTTGGGTTGTGCCGGGTGCTCTTCGGCGCGCACACGCACACACCACCACGATCGATGAAGCTTCACGTGGCAGTCACCACCTGCTTGACGGCCTTTATTATTCTCGACAACGGCAGTGCCTCGGCCTTCTTGGCGCCAACCCGAACGCTACTCGTTCCTTCTATTTCATCATCATGCGCAGTTCGCCCATTTGACCCAATATCCAGTCGGCGTCCTGAACACGTAATATCCATACGTTTCCCGTCTCCTAGGCGGGGAATAGCAGCCGAAGCGGCTCTTGCCGTGCCGGAGGTGGCTTCGGTCCTACAAGATGAGCTTCGAAGACTGTGCGCCACCAAATCCGAACCTGGCCGCGAGGCACGCATCGAGGAAGTTGCCAAGGTGTGCGGGACGACCACTACTGCTGTAGGTGACGTTAGATATCACACCCCTTGGGTTGGATTTTTTTTTTTTACTTAGTACTCTCACAACAAGTCCATCTCTATCTGTAGAAATATGTCTAAGATAGATTAGCAATGATTCCATAGCGTGAGCGAAAGACTTCCTGTATGTCTACGGTTTCCCGATTTCTCCTAGAGCAGATATGGTCGCGGTGCCAAAACGGTGGAGTTAGAGCCATCTTGTCGAGAGCTTTCTGGAAATGCATCGTTTCGTTCATATATGCACTTCGTCCTAGTTTTGAACATCGGTCAAGGGGGTGTGGTATCTCGTGTCACCTGCGGTACTGCCGTACGATGCCTACGATGCCTGCCGGCAGGCAGCTTACGGTTCGCCCGAGAGAAAAGAGCGGTAGAGCCTCGACATTGTTGTACTCAGATTGAGCAACTTCACGTTTCTTGCAGCCGTGAGTCACGGGCCGGCCGACTGCTTTGCCCGGAGGGTTTCGAGGAACTATATACAACGAGATGTTTCCAAGTGCCCATCTTAGGGAATGACACTGCTGTACCATGGTTCTGTGAAGGCTGCTGAACTACTCCAACGACGTATTTTGTATATTTGAACCTGCCGAACGTGTCAGCCTTCTTTCTGTGCATGCCTCATTAATCCCAAGACCACGTGATCAATCCAGCACACATAAGATATGATAAGCCCTTGTAGTGGATGCATCCATGCCATGTTGTTGGCGTATCGTAAGAACCCTCTTGCTATCTTTTCCGTGAGCGACTGGTAGGCACGCGGGCGCCACTTCTAGAAGCTTGAACGCTGGTTGATTGCCGTGTTGTGTTTGTTGTTTATTTGCTGCTCGACAGGAGCTGAACGCCCTCAACCCGACGAAGGATCCCGCACGGTCTCCTCTGTTGGCAGGTACCACCTTTTGACCCCAGTGGTTGAACAAAACTTTGTTCTAGACCGCGATGTGTTGAGCACTATGGTTCGCAAAGGGAGGGGCATACTCATGCTTTGCATGCCTTAGTTGTTAGACCATTGGCCGCGCGTCCTCGAGAGGACGGAGCACTGTTCCCACAGGACCGGAGGGGGAGGGGGGGGGGGGGGGGGGG